TTTGGAACGATTTAAAAAACCGGCGAGAGGGGTTGTATCTACAATCACATTGGTAGGGAACATTTGGAGACAGACACAGCCAATGGAATAAAACAAACATCCCGTCAGTGACACAATAGCTGATTACTCAGAAAAGACACATGTACATAAACGCAGTATGGGGAATTGCACAGCTGTCCACAAATCCAAAAGTGAAGCTGACAGCTCAGTTTCCCCATCCAGCCTAGACTCTGTGTGTTTCTCACCTCATCCTAGTTTCTGCCTTTACCGGGGTTCCTAATCTACTTCATGGCTCTACCCATGGTGTGCCCCTGGGACAAGTCTGTGTGGTCCTCACCCCTGTGTAGGCAGCAAGCCTGGTCACTGCTCCAGCTGGCATGGTGTAGGGCATCACTGGTCACACTAAGAGACTCTGAATGAGTGAAACCCTGCGGACACAGAAGTATGTACAAAGGCCAGACAACTTTCAAATGGTGTCCATTTGGTTGGGACTGGACTGTCTGTGAGTGATGGAAGTGACCCTTAAGCAAAGATTATATGAATGGGGGTCTACAGTGGCTGAGGTTTGCACTTCAGTGAATTTTCATTTATCACTGATGGAGGGCACTAACATGTGGTAGGCACCTCATTTACCAGTCCTCAGCTGTCGGGAGCGGAAGGGGGATGGCCCCTACTTCCAGTGTTAGAGAGAGGCCCAAGGTGGAGGAGGCTCCCTATAAACTAAGTGTTGTTATGGGCAGTTCAGAGTTGGCAGTTCAGAGTTGAGGGTGTGTCAAGACCACACACCATGCAAGCATGTATCATCAGCTATGGTGATGGCCACACACAAAGTAGGGTACACTACCCCAGTCTCCAATAGGATTGGCATAAGAAGAAAGCTATACTGTCCACTAGTTTTTGTTCTCTCTAGGATGAGGAGGAACACTAACTATAGAAGGACCCTATGGAAGTGTAGCTCTGACCCCAAGGACCAACTGCCAGACACTCTACAGACAAAGTCATGGAACCACTTCATTCTGGGAAAGCATCGCCCTGTAGCAGCATCGCTGCAATGAGGGCAGTGGCATACCTAAACATCAACTTACATACAGAGAACCCAAGTCACACCAAACACTTAAAACAGATCCCTCACAAAGAGCCAATTACAGGCAACAACCTGGTTGTAGGATGTTAGTAAAAAAGTACATGGATGCAGTGACGTGGAGCCAATTACATGACTAGAGATTAGTGCCTGAAAAATCGATGTAGACACAGGACATTAAGCCTTTGTCTTAGCAAACTTTGCAAACAGACTGTTACCATGAGAAAAATCAATGTGAAACATGAAAAAACTTTTCCACCTGTCATTTACTTCAGTTGTGCATGGTATTGAAAGTAGCAACACACTTTCATGCTGATCAAATTATTATAGGGACATATGCTTCTGTAGACAATGCAGATTGCAAATTTGCCCTACATCTCTCCAGCTGCACCACGAAACAACATTTAATCCTAACACATTGTGAAATTTCATGGGAAATAGGCTAAGACACACAAAGTACCAGATGAGCATTAAGGAAAAACGAAAATTGTGCCAGTTTACACCTTCCTGGTATCACCATGTGGTATGCACTAACACATGTGACCAATGAGGAGGGATGCTCCCCACATAAACATGTCCGGTGTTATCTGTGGGCGACTAAGGCTCTCTATGGCTGCTATAGGCAAGCAATGTCAAACAAAGCCATCAACGAGGCATAAGGGAGATAGTGGATAGAAAATTTTTACCTGAGATCTTCGTTATTCATACCATGTAATCAGTTGGTGGTGGAACCACTGGAGTGTATCCCAGTGTGCATAACATAGTATGTGGTGGACATTCGCGCGCGACACTGACAGAAGGACCATTCTAAGGACGAGAAAAGAGGTGTGACAAAAGATAGAGGCAGACACGAATGAAAAAAAGGGTTAAACTAGTGAGAATGGAAAACGGGAATAAGAGAAAGGTGGATATAAAACACAAAAGGATAAAGGGGTTGAGAGAAGGCTACTGTAGACGTGGACGGTCAACCCAGTACTAAGTGTGTTGAAATATCCTGCCTGCCACAGACGTCAAGTATTGGCCACAGCTTATGCTATTCTATCTAGGCAAAGAGAAGAAAAGAAAAGGGGCATGTGTGTTTGAAGAGTGAAGCGTAATGGGTGTGTGTGGTTGATCTTCAAAACAATGGGTTTCGTGCAGAAGTCTGTGAGAGAGCAAGGAATGTTCTCTGAGGGCAAGAGACTTGTTAGAAAAAGAGTGCCAACTTCTGCAAGAAAAGAGCACACAAGATGAAACATCTCGATGGGGGACAAAGATTTACTGTAGGAAAGACAGAAAACATATTGGAAAAAGATGCATAAGGGAAAAGGCGGGGCATTTTTCTATGGCAATTTGTCTGTAGGAAAGAGGCGAGTAGATAAAGTAAGTAAATACACGTATCTCTTAATAGGAAAGAGTATTAGTCGCACTGATAGATCCTAGTCAAAAAATGCATATTGTACATGTAGGAAAAGGGGCATGACTTCTGAGAAGTTTGAGTTTTACCCCCAGCCTCTCCTCGCAGTGATGGCGCAGAGGAGGGGTTGAGGATGGACTCAAGTTTCAGCTGTTGTAGAGGGTCATCAGGACTGGAGATAATGATCTGAGGAGCTCCCAGACGTCTGTTGATGGCATTCTGGTGGGCATCGCCATTTGACCAACTCCTTCGAGGGAACTGCTCCCGGGGGACAGAGAGGGCAGGACCGAGAGGAGAGTGAGGGAGGAGGAGGATTGATCGGAGAGGGAGGAGGAGAGAGGGAGGAGAGGCACGAGAGGGAACCGGGCGGGAGGGAGCTTTGGTACAGTTGGAGTTGGGATATTTGGTGGTTAATTACCCCTGTTGACCTCTACATACTGAGGGGGAGTATACTGTGCCATAGAAAAGTGGTTTTGGAGGGGGACTGGGGGGGGGTGTTCGCCGGGGGGGGGCTGACGGGGGACTTTGTGTTGTATATGTTGTATATTGAACCCCTACCAGATTGAGAGCTCATTGGTAGAGCGATTGCCGAGGTCATGGTTTGAATCCCACATAAGGCGATCTCTTTTAGGCTGGAAAAAAAGAGCTTTCCTGGGTGTGTGGTGACTTTGTTTGTGTTGGCCTTAAGTTAAGTAGAAGAACCTTGTAACCCTCTTCATAACCACCCACATTCCAAAAAGAAAAATGCTCTTCAAAAGCACTATGTCAGGTTAACATTGTACCAGTTACAACTACTCGTGAAAGCATCAAAGTTGCAAACCTCGGTTGCACTAAAAACGTCTAATCCATTGACTTGCGTGGTGGACTACTTATTGATGGCCCGGGCTTGCATTGTCGATTTACTTCATTTACTGTCTTGCTTGAAACCTTCGCGCTGCAACCGTTAATGAAAGAGTTTTGTTTGGAAGACTTCGGTCAAAGAACAATCTGCAATGAGATGCCTGCATGTATTGCATCTTATGACTTAATTCTAAGGCTGAAAAAACACTGACCGTGGATTATTCCCCAGGTTCCATTTCCTTCAGGAAAAAAATGAAATACCAAGGTTTATAACTGCATGTTATTCACCACTTTCAACTATCCATGGTGTTTGAGGCAAATACAATGAAATTCTGAGGTTGCAAAAAATATTATGGGCCAGTCTCCAGACAAATATTTTTTTAAGGTTGAAAAAAGCCACCTACATCTCTCCAGACGACGTCATGGACCGCAGTGCAATGCCAAACTGTACGCTGTCCTTCGTGATGTATGTGGGTCAATTGTTAGATTCATGGGTAAGGGAGGAACCTAGAGCTTTCCCAGCCAATGCTCTGACCACCTGTCAGTTTCAGTGCGGGTCCGGGATTCGAACGGGCACCTATTGTGACAGTCCCCACGTCTCTCTAACCACGTAGCCACTTGGGCTGGCCACGAGAGCTGATGAAAAAACGTTCCCCTTACTCACATTACATCATGATAAAAAAAACACCACAGACCTGGGACCGAACCGGGACCTCTCGATCTAGAGTTTGAGTCGTTATCCATCAGACCACACCCAATACTTGAAAGTGAAAAGTTCGATACTGTATAATATACCACTCTGTATGCCTGACATGACATCTTTAAGGAGCACATTTCCACCTACTTCAGGTTAATACTAATGCTACAGATACAAGTGGAAAAACCACTTACGGGGGACATACGTAGGGACGGATGTTACCTATATATGGAAAGGCACTAGAAGATGCCTAATGCCTAAACTTAGAGAGAGAAAGTCGTTCAATGACCCCAATTCAATTTCAAATCTGCAGGTCATGAATGCACGAGTGCCTCGGATTTAAAGATCTGACTAGGAAGCTAAACAGAGACCCACAGACGAATTGCCACTGAGGAAGTAGAGACAGCAAACAGAGAAGAGCAAAGATAGCACCTCATGTAAACTAAAACCACATGCTGCCATGCAGAAACTAACAGGAAGACAATATGTAGCTACAGCACACGTATGAGAACTACCACTTACAAGGAGGATTACTCAATGTTCATGTGTATTATGATAATGATAAATCGCTTTAACCCCCATACATTGGGTGTGTCAACATTCATCCTCTCTACAAGATCACATCGTATAGGGTATAGGTATACCAAAATTATGAGGACCCTCCCCTTCCATTAGTGGGTTAATGGCGTACGTGACAACTTGTGCCTTGCCTTTTCTCAAGATCATTTCTACATTGTATGGATGCCAACCATTCCGCAATAGAGGTTCAGTTACATTGCATCGCCTTTTTAAAGTCAGCCACTTGTCACCATAATGTCAGAATAATCATGTGTGTAATGAAGTGCAACACATAGGCAACCCAACACACAGCGTACAAATGCACCCCCCCCCCCTTCTGTATTAGCACATAAATAGGTCTGAAGCTATTACACTCGAGGAAAGCTATATACAATTTTCGGTGAACAAATAAGCCCACCCATGTATCTGAATGAAGGATTTTGTAAATTCTGTCACACATACCGTAATGTTTTTCGTATTTCTAATATCTTGTATATACTTTGCTGAAAACTTTAGCCACGTTTGTTCAGCAAACTTTTTTCTGCTATTATAGAGGGCCTACCACGTCATCTTGTAGCATGACATCAGCCTTGTTGTCAGTGAGCATGGAGACCAGCTGAGGGGCAGACGGATGGCGGTCGTTTTGCGTGAGCGGTGGGAACAGGGTGTCGTTCAAAGCCTGTCCGAAATGACGGCCGTCCAGAGACGCCGAGAGCTGGTGGTGGTGAGGACTGAGGTCAGAGTGTGTGTCGTGCATGGTCAGGTACCCGTCACTGAGTGCTGTGCTCAGCATCCGTCCTGTCTCACTCAGGTCTGTGAGAATGGAGGGAGGTAAAGGTAAAGGGAGGAGGGAAGGACGGAAGGTAAGGAGGAAGAGAAGAAAGGAGAAGAATAAAACGAGAGGGAGGGGGGAGGGAAGGTGTACATAACAGGAAGATACACACTGGAACTGACACACACACATAGTAATTGAATAAGGTGGATCATAGACTTGTACCCATCTTTAACGTTCGGCGCACATGGGTTACGGTAGTTGTCGTGTGTGTCTGTCTGTCAGTCAGTCTGTTGCCCGACATCTCACTTCACGAGCCATGAATCGCTCCACAAACAATACCATGTATTCAGTGTCGGGTATAGGTCGAAAAAAATGTGGGGTTTTCTCTGAAACTGCTGCGTTCGGGAGTTACGGTGTGAAACACAAGTGAAAAAACCAATACGCTAATTAGAACAGGCTTATATACCTCGAGTGGGTCCGTTTGCTCTGTATCATGAAGGCACAAGAGGTCACAACGAAGGGCCGCATGCTATCTACTACTGTAGCTAGCTCGTGTCAGGCTCTCCGCAAGCTACTAGCGTGAGACCACGAGTAAACGCATGGCCCAGCCCATCAATTAGTGATACCGCGCAGTTCACCGAGGGTTTGCACTTTAGTGCTTTTTCATTAGAGCAGAAGTAAGTCCCACTGCAATCATTCCACTCGTAGGACGATCTACACTTTTAAGTGTGTCTTATTTAGCATGCATTACACGCCACATTGCCTTTTTATCTTTCCATACCTACTGTAGTAGTGACATGGATACAACACAGGTTAAGTACCCCATCAGCCTGATCTCCAGAAAGTAGGGAAATAATGTACATGCACAAACAGGCTATTTTCTCTCCACAGAGGAACCTGGGTACATAGTTAAGAGGACAAGTCATTCCTAATGCCTTCTCTTAAACTAATGTCTTCTCACCTCCTTCACAAACACACGGAGCAGTATTACAGCTGGGGTGTGTACATTGGTCCCCAGCCCCCCAGGTGTAGGTAATATGTCTGACCTGTGCCAGGGTAGGAGAGGTGTTCATGTGGAGACAGACTCTCAGCCGGGGATAGAGGTGCCATTCTGCCATACATCGGAAGAGACATGGTCTTGTCTGGCATCAGGCTGCACGGGATGGACACAGTGAATGAACAGGGAGGGAACATTTGTTTTCTCTCCCAATGCACACTTACCACCGAGATGAACGAAGCGCAATCCTTATAACGGAGACCACCACCAACTACTAGGTGGTGAACTTAGAGCTATCGGTCTTAAGCTGCTGTACAAGACTGCCACCGAGTAATGATCAGTGCTTGTCTGATCAATCCCAAACCCCGCCTCCAGGAATTAGCCAACTAGTATTCCCCCAACTGGCACACAATTCTTTGTCTTTATGTCTCTGCTGCCTATTATTCCAAAAGAGATTCCCAAACGACGTGCACAACTGGCAAGCCCTTCAGAACCCGCTGTCTGGAATCAGCCATAAGGGGTACCTGATTCCTTGCCAGGTCCGAGGAATGTAAGCAAAGTCACACCCAACACTGGAACCAAATTCCAGCAAATTCCCCAACATCTCACGCTTCTACACCAAACAGTAGGCTAACTGGGGCACAGCTTGTACACGTTAACAAAGGTGCTCTCCTTATACATATGCATAATATCTACCCATTCAAACACCGTCGTGCAGCTATTACCAACAGGGTAGTATGTACCACAAACAGAACTGGACTCAATCTCATAGGAGCACAGGAGGTTAAGAAAGTAGTGTTTCTTGGGGGGTCTCCCCACTTTTCTCTGAGATTTACTACACCAGTTGGAGTATATATATGTATATAGTTCTCTAGAACGGACACTGACTACCTAGCTGACAAAGAACAGGATATGTGTTTACAACAGCAGTCTTCCTGTAGTTGTATAACAGCACAATACACGAACATGCACCCCTTTATACCGCAGCGTGAGAAACTTTTGAAGGAGAAAACTTTTGTGAATTTCGGGGTTAGCCACTCAGCAAAAGTTGGTAGGCAACAACATTTGTATTGTGGGGAAAAATTCAGTATATCTGAACCTGCATACTTAGCCTGTGATTCAGGGGACAATAGCGGTGGAAGACATGGGTTTACACGTGCAATCTAACACACACACACACACACAAAGACGGACCAGTTGAAGGTGTAGTTTCTGAGAATGATAGCAGCCTCATCAGACGGCCGGCGGTAGTGCATGAACCCAGGGGGACACTCCAACCTCTGAGGAGACAGCACTGGCGATGCCGTGTCCTGTGGCGTGGGTAGAGTTAAGGTTTGGAGGAGGAGAGGAGGAGGAAGAGGTAGAGGAGGAGGAAGAGAGAGAGAAGGAAGAAAGTAAGGTCTGAGTAAATCAATGGTTAAGTACCTATCACGCACCCAAAACCAAGACTGTTTTCCACCAAGGTTTTGCATTGCAGAGCAATCGTTTGCTCCCCACATTGAGCAAAGTAAAAGGAGTGTCTGCAAGTGTTTACCGAGTCACAGTACTACTGCTATCGTTCATTGAGTGTGTACGGTAGTGGAGCATGAATGAATTGCAGTTTTAGGGGTCAGACCTGTGATCCACGTCCCAAATTTTGGAAACTGAAGTGCGTATTCAGTTACGCAGTCATTTGTACACGTATGGTACAGTTTCAGTTACACGGCAGAAACTGTATACATCACCAGTTGGACCACACAAGAACACTCAGTTAGCCTTACACGGCTAGCTCATTATCCTATGCTACCCCTGTACATATATACTTAGTATGGTGTCAGGATGCCCCACCTATATAAAACCACATGGAAAGAGGATGTTCATATCCTTAGGTCAAGTGAAACAGTATGCCAGGCAGGATGCACACAGTTCACTGCCACAATCTTTCCCACAGTTATAGCTCTTCCATGCATGCATAATCTAGTTCTTCCTTACATACAGCCAGTGTTAAGCTACAATATGTATAGCCAATATTGGAGTTCATACTGCATAGCCAAGTCTATAGATCGTACACCACACAGTACAGCCGATGTTAGAGCTCTTCCATGTACAGCGGATGTTATAGATCTTCCATATACCTACAGTTAGTTGCTCTCTACACGTGCCAACCTTGGATCTCCCCTTCCAGTGTTACACAGGAACTAGACAGAGCACGGAGCCAAGGAAGTTAACATAATAGTCCACAGTATACCGTCTGAGCATCACGTTGCAGACAGGGATGTTCTCAGGTCTAATGGGTCGGGGGACTGGAACATTAGGAAGATGTACAGTGTATACAGGTACAATACACTGTACTGCTTCAGCCACACTTTGATAGGTAATCACACGCTGCTGCTGTGCCAAGCCAAAGTACCCAACGTCACGTACATATCTAGGCACACGGCACAGTTTGTACGTGAACCAGAGAGACTACTAGAAACACCCAGGAGGACGGTGCATAGGTGAACAAGGCCGGGTTCTGATCTTGCACACCACACCAATATCAGTGTGGTCTAAGTCACTATCAACCCACAATACTATGACTTAGGGCAGGAAACTGGGGTGAGTGACTATGCCAGGCATGCACAGAGTGAGGGGGCGAACATCCTGTCAGGTTCATTCACCTTTTTACTCTCCAGCCAAATACGACCTCTATAATATACCGAACATGTATGTCCATATCAACGCGCCACTGAGTGTGGCCCGGTGGTGGTGAGGGGGCAGGAATGACATGTGGACCAATAGACACCACCTTTGAAGTCGTGGATCGTGTACCTGACTGCACCTGACTGCACGGAGCATGTTTAACGGAATCTACTTGAAATTCGTTAGGACGACACTCGAAGGGTACATGCCCTGTAATTAATGCACAACAAACATGAATAACGAGGCAATGTGCAGGTCACATGGACACATGGAGGAGTCAGGTGAGTGCTTACTCTTTAACGTGGAACTGAGTAGAAAAGAACAACCACTGGGCACGTAGAGCCCTTTGATCCAAAATTACGCATGTTATATTTAAGTACATACTCAAGTGAAGGCCTACTGCACCTTGTGTCTTGGTATGTATATCAGTGTATACCACTTTAAAATTCTTCACAACTGCCCCAGGCACTATCAAATGCATGCAAGTTTCAGTCTTGCAAAGCCACTCAGTTTGATGTCACATAGTTTCTATCACCAACCATGTCCAAAAACTGGATAGTGAAAGAGCGTGCACGTTTGGAAGGACTTTTTCAGAGAAGCCTATTGGTTGGACCAATCAAAGATTCCCAAATGTTGTACATGCACGAACTGTACATGCATGAACTGCTGGTCTGTCAGAATGGAAATACAGAGTACACAGTAAGTATGACTATTGTATTTCCTTCACGATAGGTTGTAGATACTAGCGATCAGTTACGTACAATGATATTTCAACACATGCACCCAAGAAGCTATCTGCACTGTGGGTTCAGGCTCTAGAACAGAGTCCCAAAGAGGTTCCCTAACCATTTTGAGGGAGGAAATATTTGAACATTGGTACAAACGTAGAATTTGCCGAAAAAACTTTGGTAGATTGCTAGCGTTCCGCAATACAAATCATCCTGTTTACAAAATGAAAATGGAGTTTCCTTCCCCCCTTACTACACTGAAACTAGGTGGCTTTCACGAGAGGCTGCACTGTACATGCTCTAACACAGTGTCCAGCACACGTGCAGCCGTCCAGCTCAGTTCCCCATCACAACATGTGCTGGCAGAAGGGAAATTGGCTTGGTCTGTGAGCGAGTGTGCCCTCGGCCGTTGCAGCGTCTAGTGCTGTGACTAGTTCATTGTTCCATGGGACCCACGGCACACTACAGACACAACACTAGCCCCAAGCCTCCGACACGACTGTCAAGAATACTCCATCACCAGAGTATGAGTCAATCAAGACAACTTTTCAACGGGAGATTTCACTCTTTTCCGTGGGCAATTCAAAATAAGCTACAGTCTGAGCTCAGACAAAACATTACTTTATTCCAGGCTTTGTTTGACTCATGCTGCCGACACATGGCATAATGCTTGTCTTGGTATAATGCATATATACATGCCAGTAACTCTGTTGTCAAAGTACACATCATACATATTGCGTACTTTGACAACAGAATACATAATGCGTACTTTGACGACAGGGTTGCATACCTACAGAGTTGATTGGCGCGATTTTTGGCTCAAAAGCGCACTAATTCTCTGGTCACGAGGCCCAGACATCCATGGGACATGAAGTGAGCACATACACACTACAGTTGTCCCTCGGGCGGGCTGGACAGACCAAGCCAGATACATGTAACACCACATGTGCTGCGTGTATGAGCGTGTGCCAAAACTACTTGGCACACCGGCAACAGGTGCACACTGCAGTGCATGACGTGCCGTCCAATTTGACTGTCACACATCCTCACCTTCAATTAATACACACCCATTGCACCGTGGCCCAGACACGCACATTTACACACCTTGTGAGCGTGCACATAATTATTGTGTCTCTTGAAAATAAGATGGTGAATACCACTACAGTATACATGATGCTTGTATAAAGTGTGTGGAACACTGTGGTGATATGTAATACAGAGTGCAACTCACATAGGGCATCGGGGAATGGGGCATCGATGAATGGGGCATTGGTGAATGGGGCATTGGTGAATGGGGCATCGATGAATAGGGCATTGGTGAATGGGGCATTGGTGAATGGGGCATCGGTGAATGGGGCATGTGAATGGGGCATTGGTGAATGGGGCATCGGTGAATGGGGCATCGGGGAATGGGGCATGGGAGAGTGTGGGGGCCGCGGTGAGCCAATTGGACTGGAGTTGGGGTGTTCTCTGTCGTTACTGCCAGTATGAACTGTTGCCATCATGTGTCCCACCAAATAAGGAATGGTGTATGTACAATATGTATAGCCTAAAACCTGAGAGTGATGAAAGAGATAAGAGAATAAAACAATGGGACACTCTGGACCTGTCAAAACAGCAGACAAGGGTCATCACCACATCATAGTACATAATTACACATTCCATCCTCGTGCTGCATTGCACTTTTAAGGTCATTCTACCCCCAGCCCCCCACTCCCAAAACAAATTCCCGAAAAATTCCCGTGCCAGAACACACAACAAACGGCAGACTGGAAGTGTAGAAGATTACTTTAAGTAGGGGGGAAACGGCTTACGGCGGCAGCACTAGTGGAACTAGAGCACATTGCCGTGGTATTTATGGACTATATATTTAGGTTTAGATGTCCCTACACATCAAGTGACCGGTTTCTGCACCATAGCACACAGTGTTTGGGATTGCCTCTGGCTGTGTTGTATTGCCTGCTGAGCTATACTGTATCTCTCCCTGTATGGATGAGTCCACAGGGCATGATGGAGCGAGTGCGGCAACATGTGCTGCCGAGACAGTGTGAAGAGAGACTAGAGCAGGGCGTCGTGAGTTAGAGTCCCACCCAGGGAAAACTGTCGTCCCGAGTGTTGTTGATATGCACATGCTAACTTTTGCACACACCCTGTTACTCATGTGTAAGTGTATGCGATAGCAGGGGTGGTGTCCCCCTGTCACTGAGATCACACTGTGCGACAAAAGAAACAGCCTACAGAGAAACGGCGACGTCTACATACAGTAAATTTCACACGGCATGATCGTGAGCCCAAACACACACGCCACACGTGTGGGTTCCAGCAGTAGCACAACAACCCACAGTGAAGCCAGAGGAGAAAGTGTTGTGTAAGATTATACAGGCTATTGCCATGGAACAGAAGAGGGCCAAGAGGAATGTATGGAGCAGTGGTGACACAATTCTGCTGCCCTGGTAGCCATCACTACAGTACTACACTCTAGAGGACTTATGCCTGGCATGTATGTCACCACTGCAGCTATCCATGTCCATGCTCACAAGCTTAACCCACTGTGTATCTTTTGGGTTAGGAAGGGACTTCATACCCCAGCATGCGTTCAATAAAGGGTTAACACATTTCGAACCACAAGGAATAGTTTGGGATGTGATAGAGAAGTCAGTTTAGGAGGCAGCTCATGGCAGTTTTTGACACAGACAAACAATACACAATAGATGTGCATACCATATTAGACCAAAACATACAGTCATAGTTTACTTGGATGTGAGTATGGAAGAATTTAAATTAGCACACAAGCTCCAAATTTTCCCAATCCCGGATCTCAAGTGATTATGCATGAATTTGTGTGAGTGTTTAAACAAACGGAAAGCCTGCAAAGACCACAAAACAACTATCTGGTGATCCTATAGACCAAGCTGTGGTGCATGTGTACAATGTCAGGCGGTGAAGATGTCCAAGGAGCAAAACTCAGCAGTTGGTTTCAGTGTAATTTCACGCGTGCCAGCACGTAGTTACAGTGATCTCAGATCAGCCCTATACTGTAAACGGAGTGTTAAGACGCCTTTGGAGTGGTGTTGTAAATACTTGGCAAATACTCATGCACAGCTTCTTATACCTGCTAAACCACACCCAATATCTGATCACAGTATCACATGAGGGAGACATTGTGCGTGTGTAAGGGGGGCGTTGTCGCAGAACAAAATTATGTTTTTATAACATCTAAAATAAGCTGAAAGAATGCTACCAAATTAATCATGGACCATGAACCAAGGGATAAGGCACGCCTCTTGCTCCATGAAACAAAAGAGTCCACAATACAGGATAACATGGGGTGCAGTGTCGAGGAATTCAATCAACGCCAGGGAGTATATTTCTTTAGAGAGACATATATATACAGACCCAGCATCTATTGGGTGTGTACTGCAGTTGCCCCCTCAACAGACTCAGACACTCACAGTTTGCACAATCCAGCCCCTCAGCCAGCAATAAGATACTGCTCATGGTTATCAGTAAATACCACTATAGGATTCTAGAATCAACTGAAGCCAGTATTATACCCACAAGCCTTTGGAGTAGAGTGGTGCCAGCCTTGGAGTAAGGGAGCCCTAGCTTTGGAGTGAAGGTGCTAAGAGCAAGCCCCTGTCAATTTGTTTCAGTAAGTCAAACAGCTCCAACAGTCTCGACTAACGGTTACATGGGTTCAGCGGCATTTCTAAGTGCATACTCTGTAAATTATACACAGACATGTAGTCTACCAAGCTAGACTCTCTTTCTGTCAGCACACAAATGCTCTTTCCTGTGGTGGGTGTAATTTCATGAACACAGGCGGTACACAAACACATAGAGGATCACATGCAGGGAGTCTAGATTGATAGACTACTGCATCTTTAACCCCGCCTCACAGCTAGACTATGCCAATATGTGCACACTAGATCTTCATCTGTACTGACCTACTGTCATAATGGATACGTTTGGAAGGTGCTACGTGAGTATGAAAGAATGTCAGTAGCTGCTACAGACCAGCCTCAGATTCATGCAATGCTCACCTGACATCATTGAGGCAAATGCTGGTGTGCTCTTTCATGCAGTAGAGCTGCAAGCATTCAACGCAATGCTGGATATGTGAGATGGACCGACATGCTTCCCCGTTACCAAGTGCTGAGCACATGAATAACCATTGTTCAACAGGTATTGTACAGCATAACACGTACACAGGACTAAATGCCTGACACAAGAATCAGCTAAAGCTCATTTATTACACGAGCAAAGTGTGGCTACACGAAGCTGCTCGTGCCCGCGGCCTTCCGCCCGCCCCGAGGTCATTATGCCCTCTCGACTAGTTTTACCGCCACCCGGGCCGGGGGACCACACACCACCAGGGGTTTGCTATACCCCCGGCTCATCCCAAGCCAACACCCCCACAAACACGGATCAGCGGCAGAAAAGCCTCCAGAAGTTCTATTCACCTGGTACTTCAGGCTCGTCGGGCTCAAACGGGCCGAGATCTGTCGCGGCCGCCTACTGTGACTGTTTCCAGAGAGACAACTCCCAGTCTAGGAGACCTCGTTACAACAGCAGTTCACACTGTCTCCTCACAATGTGACTCGACAAACGGTTCTTGATCTCTACTCCGTGTAGCAGCAGCAGAAAGCTTCCTTCTCTCTAGTATCTCGACGTGTCTCTCCCTCTCGAAATTGCGCCAGGTCGATCTAGAATGACGTCACCAGATTTTCCCACCGTATGCGCGTGCGCAATAGTTCTACGGTAATTCTTCACCAGACAGCCCTCCTGAGGCGACATGATAATTGCAGACAATTCACATATCAACTGTCAGTTCGTGCTCGCTGTCTGAGCTGCTCCACTCGTCTGAACTGGAATAGAGACTGATCCCAGACTCCATTCCCAGCTGACCCAGACCCAGGCCCAGGACAGGGGCCAGACTGGGGTCAGTTGGCGTCCTCACCACTGCCACTGTGCCCCCTGTGACTACTGGTCTGGGGTGAAATACTTGGTCTCATTTTCTTGGTCCGCGACTTCTCCTTCTCCCCTTTTGACTGTTGCTGTCGTTTGCCAGCGTTCTTCCTCTTGGTCTTGGATTTGGTGGTTCCTGTTGTCTTTGCTGCTGCTACTGCTGGGCTGTCAAACTTTATGAACTTGTACTTGGCGCAGCGGCCGGCGTTGGGGAGTTTCTGGAGTATGTTGAGGATGGTGGGGTTGGAGTAGCCAAAGAACTCGGGCCCGGAGCCAGAGTTGGTCGCCTGTCTGTCCCTGCAGGGGCGGGGGGGGACACACACAATCACCACTGCAACAATTCCTCAAGGCATGTCAAAATATTGACACAAACTATTGTGTTTGCCTGTCCCTAAGAAAAAAAGATTGTTTGTTTACTCTTTGGATAGCTCAGGCTGTGCTGCAAAAGCATGGTGTCAGTTTGTGATCCTGCCATGCAGGCTAACAGTTCTGAGAGACACAGATATTTCATACCTGGCCTTATTGATGGCTCTGAGGACGATACTCTGACAGGCAGTGGAAGAAGTGGCCTGGACCGGCTCTTCTGAATCTTCCGCACGCATCTCAAACTGCAACAGACACACACACACACACACAAACACAGCTACTAACAACATTACGGATGTGTAACACACACACATGTACATACACAAAAACACAGCTACAAACAACATTACGAATGTGTGTATACCACAAGGAAATAACTACTTTATGTGCAGTTGCAAATGTTGCGAAACGGTGGCTATAATAATAATTATATACAGTAATGTACACTCAATAAACAATCACTTACGAGAGGAACGTCCCCGCCGTCGAGAATCGTGCAGTGGTAAGTGGTTCGTCTGTCAGGGTTGAGCATACTGGGGTAGGTACGACTGCTGTGGAAACCAACTGGCAACAGGTAGCGCTCCGTGTGGTAGGCTACCCGGTCAAACACTATCTGCAATAGAACACATCACAAAGCCTGTGACTGTTGCATTATGTGTGTATGTATGTACGTATGTATGTTTGTTGGATATCCCTAGGCAACCAACATGTATGAAGCTACATAGGTACTGGGGGTTTTATCAGCCTATACAATCCTACATGTGCAAGCAGGGTTCATACATGTCATTTGCCTAGGGATATCCAACAAATCTGTTGCAGTACCTGGCTCATGTATGTATGTGTATCATGGGGAGTAACACAATGGAGTGGTGGTAAATTTCCAAACTTTAATTAGAAGGCGTAAGTAAATTTAGAGGAGGGGTTAATGCCCCCTTGCTCCCTCCCTAAATGAAACCCATAGTACATAGCTCCTACACATCCTTCTTCAAAAGATGCTCGCTCACCTTCCCAAGGCTGTGCACGGTGAGTCCTCCGATGTGGATTGGTAACACAGGAGAGCCTGGAGACCAACACAAACCACACAGTAGATGGTAGCACTTGCTGTGTTCACAGACTCACTGACTCACCGTCATCATTGAGGGGGATGGGATGGAGTCGACGGACCTTCCCCGTGTTTCTCCTATTCCCTGCACCAACACAAAACATTTCTTTGGCAGAGCAGGAAAACTCTGAGCCCAAATTCTGCAGTTCGAGGCCCAAAGTTTTCCCACAAGATTATTTCTGGTAGAGCAGGACGCGTCTTTCAAAATTTTCTCAAGAAATTCTCTCTTACTTGTTTACCACCAAACCACCCACTTTAGTCCCTAAACGTTTCCCACTCGACTTCATTGAACCAACAGAGGAACAACACGACAGTGTAAACTTTGCATACCCTTTGGTGTGCTGTCAGGCTGTTCAGTGGTACCAGTGGTGGTAGGAGGAGGAGGAGGAGGAGGAGGAGGAGGGGCAGGAGTGGGCTCAGCCTCACTCTCACTACTGACACTGGTAGCCGATGAGCTGGGGTCTGATGCCAGGGTGCCTTGGACACCTGGAGACTTCTGTCCACCACCCTCACTGCTACCGGGGACATGGTGATCGCCCGTCTTCCTCCCCTGCCCTCCACTGGCCCCGCCCATTTCCTGTGACCTCCCACCACTGCCGATACTCTCTCCTCCGGAGAGGAGGGCTGAGAGAGTGGACGTTGGCCTTGCCCCACTAACAATCACACCCTGCTGCTGTGAGGTGGTGAGGCTAGCGACAGGGATGAGGGGAGGGGGACCCCTGGTGGAACGAGATGCCGACGAGGCCCCTGCTCCAAACGAGGTAGAGCAGCTTGTCTTTAAGACAGTCATGGCGGACGCTGTGCCGGAGCCAGGGACAGCAACTCTACTCCTAGTCTTGGACGACGGCTGTGGACCAGGTTTGCCTCTCTGGAACTTCATGAACTTCTCCAGCAGAAACCTGCACGGTGTAACACCACACTGTGATAGGACTCTGTGGTGGAAACATGTACAGGAAACCTAGCCTTGACATGGACACAAGAGGGGAGAAGCTGCCGATTGCGTGATGATCGACAATGTTCAGAATGTTGTATATGAGGTGCAGCCTTACTGTCTTTCTGCCTGGGCTGTAGCTATCTTTTGCTCAATAACCCTCAATTGCTCTGCCATTGCCACGTTCTCCTGAACAGCACACACACAACAATAAATCACACATTATTGGTGAGCATAAAAAAAGCCAACCTAGTGATATAAAGGTAATATAGTTATGTGTCGGTATATACTCTGTCCAACTATGCATGCGTTACAATAGTGTTTGAAATTTTTCTGCCCCTCTTGCCAAAACTGCTCGACAGTCAAAAATTTGTGTTTCTGTTTATATTCCTCCGTCTGCAGCTATTTCAATACGTAGGTCCTCTTTTATTAGCCCCATTCCGAGGCCACCGACCCCTCCTATGTAATTAGCCATTAATTTTGTGAAACACAGTACACAAGGCAGGACGTAGTAAGAGGCACCTCACTACACACAGAAAAGCTGGTCGTCTTACATGGGACATACATAAATGATGCCTTTGGCCATCTTTTTTGCAGAGACGTATCGTCTGTGGTAGAGAGCCTCAGACTCGTCGTCAGAACTGGAGCTCCATTCACTGTCCTCACTACCACTGGCTGAACACACGGACGATGTCCCTCCTTCTCTAAAGGTGTGTGTGTGTGTGTGTTTGTGATTGGGGAAAGAAGGAAGAGAGGTAAAGTGTAGGCAGGACTAAAGCTAAAGAGAGAGGGTGGGTAGCTTTTGTCGGCGTCACCGCATGCAGCCAGCCAGGTGCATGTAAACCTATCCACAAGTCCAGCAACATGCCTAGGCTCTTTGTCACTGGTCATCAGGGGAGTTCCCAATCTTTCATGTGTTTCGGCCTCTTTAAACTCCTGACTCGTGAGACACTCGAAAAGGGCGAGGCGAGGCAATTGAGTTTCAAGTGCATACATTAACACCAGTTAACAAATTCCTAGCAAAGAGCGTGTTTTAGGGATCAAAACTCACCTTTTCTTTCTCTTGTAAATGACTTTGGGATTGAAATTCCAGCTCTCCTCACCGTCCCTGCCTCCCATCACCCTCCCAGCACTCACCAGAGGCACCATCATCACCGGCTGACCATGAGGTCGGACACCGCCACTAGCTGCAGTAGTCTTACTATCAGTGAGCGGAGTACTATCCTCCATGTCTTCCTCCTCCTCCTCTCCCTCTCGTCGCCCAACCATCTCATCCGGGCTTCTCAGACCGAAGCAGCCCATCTTCCCCGGGACTCTGATAAACTTGGACATGGGTTTGGACGTCTGTCGGTACAGTAGTGTCTCTAGACTAGTGCTGCAGTTGGACCTCACCTACGGCAAGAGGGACGAGGGGACTTTTGGCAACACTTTCGGAGTATGGTAGCTAGTGTGCTATACACATGAAGCAGAAGTAACGTGTGAGTGCTAGTCTAGCCAAAAAGGCGCCACCATAACAGAATGCAGGGTGAAACGGTTCTCTCACTATGCCCAGCTCTAAGATGGTGCGGGTCAAGTCCCTGATGTGCATCCCAGGACCGCCGTTTTCCATCAGGACGTACTCTGCTGCCTTGAGCCAGGTCATTCCCGACTGTGCCTCGGCCGCGGGCCTAGGATCGGCCCCGGAGCCAGCGCCCAGGTCTATCTGCAGCTCTTCGCACTCAGCTTCCATCGTACACCGCGACCTCTTGACCTCAACTTCAAGACGCGCATGCGCACAAATATATCCGCTCACCTAGACTAGACTAGAGACTGTTGTTCTCTCTCATCCTCTCAACGATCATCCGTGAAATTGTTGACATCGCCTGATTCTGATGCAACTTATTTAGGGCAAAGAACAGTGTAGGAAGTCAGTGAGAGACGACTCGTAGAAATAGAGGGTTCTTTGGACTTGAGGTCACTCCATGAATTAGCTGCAGTGGGTCCTGAGCACAACACACAACACATGATATTCATCCTGTGTAGCACACACACACACACAGGGTTCTAACCTCAGTCTCTGGAGCAGGGACAAACTTGTACTTGCAGAGGATGGTAATGAGGGCCAGCTTGGCCTCCAACAGGGCAAACCTCATCCCAATACAGTTGCGAGGACCCATGCCAAATGGCATGTGAGCCAGAGCTGGTCGCTTGTCCTTCTCTTCATCTGTGAACCTGGGTCACAAAAATGGTGGAGCCTTGTTGAATGCCTCTTATTAGGTAGGTGTCGGGTATTACAGAAGGTCAATAATTTTGCTGGTGCACTGTGAATTTTTAAAGTACGAAACTCAGCGTTATCTATGTGAGCTTACCATGCCTCTAACTAGTGGTGTGGGCTACTGGTTAGAGCATAAACCCACACATTTGCGTGAGAATTTTCTCTCTCAAGTTGAGCCACGTATGTATATATGTAGTTTTTCGCTAGGTATTATAATATACTACCTGTCAGGGTCAAACTTGTGAGGTTGTGGCCAGTACTGGGGGTCATGATGGAGGTGCCAGATTGGAATGATAATCACAGTTCCTGCAGGCACCTTCCAGTCCCCCACCGTTGTACTCTCGACGCAGTAGCGGTTAGTTGAACTCACAGGTGGCATAACCCGCATGGACTCTTGTACGACCATGTCCAGGTAAGGTATACCGAGAGCCTTCTCGTAGGGAGTGGAGTCAGGGTGCTCTGTGAGGTACGCCTCAATCTCTCCCACCAGTCTGTCCTGGACCTCCGGGTTCTTGGCCAGGAGGTAGGCCGTGAAACTGAGGAGAGAGCTTGTGGTCTCGTAGCCAGCAACGATGAAGGTGATACACTGGGCCATCACCTCTTCGTCTGTCAGTTTTCTGTGTTCCTCCTTGCCGTCTGCCGTGGCATCCAGCATCAACTGCAGGAGGTCCTTGTAGCTCTGCTGGGCATCGGGAGCCTGGCGACGAGCACGTATGAGAGCCAGCGACACTCTTGCCAGTGTCTGGTAGTGGGCACCAGACTTGGAGCGACTGGCCAGGAGACGAAGGACGGACGCCATCCATGGAAAGTTTGACAAAAGTGTGATGATACGCTCTAGAGACAGCTCTGCGCCTTCACGTACTCTGGCCATAATGCCCTCGGCTGCAGTGAGCAGTTCGTCACTCTCCCCTCGCTGGATGTCAATGGAGCGGCCAAACGCAGCGGCAATGATCGTTTCGAGGCTGAGGTTCCCAAAGGCTAGAGTGACGTCGGTGCTTTTGTCGGTGTCAGCATTCTCTGACAGGATTGACTCCAGTGTCTGGCAGTGCTCTTCAATCAATGGTGCCATCTGAAGAGGATGAATACAACTGCACATAAATTTATGTACGAAATGGGATGAAAATAGCGCTCTGTGTAATGTCCCTCTACATAATTGCAGTGTCTCCCAAGTCAAGTCCGCGCACGCAGGCAGCAATGCTCCATTTGCACGCCTACACCTTCCGTGCTATGCATGCAGGTACATACGTTAGTCTCTTCCATATTTTGCACTATTGTTCGTAAATGGACCACGAAATACGAACAAATCAGTATTAGTTGGTCGCACTGCAATTGTGCACTGCATCCCAAAAGTGTACATACGTACATTACACATGCCAGTAGCAAATCCTAACAACCACTATATCTGCTGCATACACGGTATTACGGAACATACCATCTTCATCTTGCTGGCAGAGAAGGAGGGGGAGAGGGTGACCCTGAGTTTCTTCCAGTAGGCACCCTCTGCATTCAGGAGTCCTCTCGGAGCGCTCCCCCTCTTCAGAAGCACCGGCTGAGGCGGCCGGTCGGAGAAATTATTACACTTCTTCACCGTCACCTCCTTGATGAGCTCAATGTCCTTGATCACTATTATGACTCGCTGCCCCAGGTAGTATCTGGTATGGTATATAAAAAAATAGTGAGAGACAATGAGAGAGTCAAGTTACTACACATCGCTACATCAATTATTGTGACACCTACACCTACCTATGTAAGACTCACCCAAACACGTTTCCGTATGTCTCAAACATTTTCGTGAAGAAGTTCAGTTTCCCCTCCTTGACCACCATCTTCTGGTTGCCGTAGAAGGGGATGGGAGGAGGCCCGCGGACGCCAATTCGAGACAGCACTCGGAAAGGGGCCACGGCAAACGAGTACAGCCAGTAAAGGAAAGCTACAATAGCCCCTGTCACAACTGTCAGCAGTACAGATCCAGGATCCATGACTTGTAGCAAGAATCGAGGCAATAGTCTTGCTATTTTCACCTACAGCACCGCCAAGCTTTTATACGCTCTCTATGCGCATGCGTAGCCAAAGCAGGGGGCGTGGTCGTATCTGCAGTGCACAGCAGTCATGAATTTGGAACTTTTGCGTAAGTCCTGTGTCTAGCGTGGACCTGTAACTGGCTGCAGAGCTGCTACTCTTTACTTTGCAGTAGTTTAATAATGCCTGCGTGTATCTTTTTGTAGAGACGGTGGATCAAAGTTACCCAGAGGTGCGTTAATTAGAATAGTCCTAGCTAGCTACTCACGTCGGTGAACGCAGCACAACGATGGAATTCTGGACTCTGGCAGCGAAGCTCTCACGTGCGCCTTCAACAGACGCGGGACTCTCCTGGCGGTAGGCTGTAACGATGGCCGAATAGCAATCTGGGACTTCATGACCCGCAGCATTGCCAGAATGTGCAATTCTCACATTCATCCTATCACTTCTCTAAGGTATATACAGTAGTACATTCAGCCATGCTTTTGTTACTGCACAGGGTGTGTAACTGTAAAAGTTAGGAAATGACGGTGAAGTGCTAAAATACAATTGAAGAACAGCATTTTTCATAATAGCATACAGTCTTGGCATGTGGTACAGGTAAATCCTAGGTTGAGAATAATTGAGCGACACAGAACAATAATAATTCACCACGCAGAACGTAAATCATGGCGAGCAAAGATAGCTTACCGAGCTGTCCAAATTTGCAATACATATCCATCTTATCCACCGACAGACCTGTGGTACATGCTATAATGATTCACATACAACCGCTGAAATTTTGCACTCATAATCACTTGGCAAAAATGTGTGGCATATAATAGCACAGGTCCCATTCTACATATTTGAAAAGAAGAAGTTTCAAGTGTCAGCTTTGAAGTGCTGTTGTTTGAACTGCTCTCTCTCTCTCTCCACCCCCCTATTTTTTGTTGTGTGTCTGCCTCAGCTGGAGTCGTAGTGGCCGAAAGCTCCTCAGCTCCTCCACTGACTGGAACGTGATGCTGTGGGACGTTGCCACCGGCGATATGGACCTCCGTCTCCGTTTCCCCTCCCCCATCCTCCACACACAGTTCCACCCCAGAGACAAGTATGTGTGGATAGCAGCTGTCATCACCACTGGGTCGATCACCCAAATCTAAACATTTCTGGCATGTGTTCTGCGTCTGTTAATCCTGTATGGTCTTCTCTTGCTATGTATTTCATTACGGTGGGACCTTTTCAGGGATGCAGACATGGTAGTTTGGAAGGAATAATGATGGGAAGATGAAACACCTGTAGTAGCCTTTAAGTTAGATAGTTTGGAGGTAGAAGAGGAATGTGGCAGTATAATAGTATACGGCTAAATTTAGAAATTTTTATTAAAAACGGGAACCTAATTGCATTCTTGCACCCCCATTGTTTAGTTCTATCTTTAGTAACATTTATAAATTTAGCCCTTACGTACACTGACACATTCCCCTCTAATATAGTGGAGATGTCATGGAAAGGTTCTCTGTATTGTTGTCAGGTCAGTGTTCCTGGTGTGCCCGATGAAGAATGTACCTCTGGTGGTGAGGAGAACGGGAGAGGAATATACACACACCCCACTACCCACTGATGGAGAGGTAAGGCGGTGGATCACCATAATGGCTATTGTGTTAATTATCCATACGCTCAGCCTTAATAGTACTGTATGTTCATATCGGTGATTTTGGATCCTTATGACGGTAGTTCGTCTGTCTGTCTGTCTTGTCTCTTTGTATTCAATGAGCTAGTCAGGAATGGTGTGTTAAAGGGAATGTGTCAGTACGACTAAACAATAGGGTGCAGTGAAAGTATGCAACTAAGCTTCCATTTTTAGTATCAGTTTCTAAATTTAGCCCTTACATACTGCCACTGCAGTCAGAAATCAACATAGTGGCCTCATTTGACAGACGAGGAGAGAGGATCGTCACGGGGAGCTCCAAGGGAAAGGTTAGCGGGTTCATCTTGTCTCCCTAACCCAAATATACTTGCCCGCCTTCATCAATCTCACAGATTCTCATCATTGACTCCTGCACATTAGACGTAAGTGAACACGTTAGCACCAAGTACGATGCACACACTATGTGGGCCATGGTGATGACACCACAGTGTATATATGTACTACATACAACAGGTTCTCAAGTCATTCAAGGTCTACAGCGGAGCATCAACTGCCACTGCCATCAAATCTATTGAGTTTGCCAGGAGAGGAAGGTGCCTGTACTACATCTAACAACTCTTTCATTTCTTTCTCAACTCTGACCGAGCCTTCAAAATCTGACAAATTTCCACATGCCTACACTATCATACACTATAATTGAGTACAGAAACGGAAGTACAGGCTAACAAACCACCCTGAATACATATAGCTGGGAGAGTGCAGTGCAAGCCACCCTTAATAGTTACTGTTGAAAATTGGATTTTGTATAATGCTGGTAAGGTGGCCTAAATATTTCGTACTTTTAGTGAGTACACGAACGGAAAGACAGGCTAACAAACCATCCTGAATAACTTGACTATAGCTGGAGAGTGCAGTGCAATACATCCTTAATACTTACCGTTAAAATTGGAATGGCCTAGATTTTATATAATGCTGGTAAGGTGGCCTAAATATTTTGTACTTTTAGTGAGTATACGAATGGAGGGACAGACTAACAAACCATCCTGAATACCTTGACTATAGCTGGAGAGTGCAGTGCAATACATCCTTAATACTTACCGTTAAAATTGGAATGGCCTAGATTTTGTATAATGCTGGTAAGGTGGCCTAAATATTTTGTACTTTTAGTGAGTACACGAACGGAAAGACAGGCTAACAAACCATCTGAATACATTGACTATAGCTGGAGAGTGCAGTGCAATACATCCTTAATACTTACCGTTAAAATTGGAATGGCCTAGATTTTGTATAATGCTGGTAAGGTGGCCTAAATATTTTGTACTTTTAGTGAGTACACGAACGGAAGGGACAGGCTAACAAACCATCTGAATACACTTGACTATAGCTGGAGAGTGCAGTGCAATACATCCTTAATACTTACCGTTAAAATTGGAATGGCCTAGATTTTGTATAATGCTGGTAAGGTGGCCTAAATATTTTGTACTTTTAGTGAGTACACGAACGGAAGGGGAGGCTAACAAACCATCCTGAATACATTGACTATAGCTGGAGAGTGCAGTGCAATACATCCTTAATACTTACCGTTAAAATTGGAATGGCCTAGATTTTGTATAATGCTGGTAAGGTGGCCTAAATATTTTGTACTTTTAGTGAGTACACGAACGGAAAGACAGGCTAACAAACCATCCTGAATAACTTGACTATAGCTGGAGAGTGCAGTGCAGTACATCCTTAATACTTACTGTTAAAATTGGAATGGCCTAGATTTTGTATAATGCTGGTAAGGTGGCCTAAATATTTTGTACTTTTAGTGAGTACACGAACGGAAAGACAGGCTAACAAACCATCTTGAATACATTGCCTATAGCTGGAGAGTGCAGTGCAATACATCCTTAATACTTACCGTTAAAATTGGAATGGCCTAGATTTTGTATAATGCTGGTAAGGTGGCCTAAATATTTTGTACTTTTAGTGAGTACACGAACGGAAAGACAGGCTAACAAACCATCCTGAATAACTTGACTATAGCTGGAGAGTGCAGTGCAACTAATCCTTAATAGTTACCATTAAAATTGGGATGGCCTTTAATTTTGAATGCTGGTAAGGTGGCCTAAATATTTTGTACTTTTAGTGAGTACACGAATGGAAGGACAGACTAACAAACCATCCTGAATACCTTGACTATAGCTGGAGAGTGCAGTGCAAGCCACCCTCAATAGAAAACAGGATGGCCTAGATTTTGTATAATGCTGGTAAGGTGGCCTAAATATTTGTACTTTTAGTGAGTACACGAACGGAAAGACAGGCTAACAAACCATCTTGAATACATTGCCTATAGCTGGAGAGTGCAGTGCAATACATCCTTAATACTTACCGTTAAAATTGGAATGGCCTAGATTTTGTATAATGCTGGTAAGGTGGCCTAAATATTTTGTACTTTTAGTGAGTACACGAACGGAAGGGGAGGCTAACAAACCATCCTGAATACATTGACTATAGCTGGAGAGTGCAGTGCAATACATCCTTAATACTTACCGTTAAAATTGGAATGGCCTAGATTTTGTATAATGCTGGTAAGGTGGCCTAAATATTTTGTACTTTTAGTGAGTACACGAATGGAAGGACAGACTAACAAACCATCCTGAATACCTTGACTATAGCTGGAGAGTGCAGTGCAATACATCCTTAATACTTACCGTTAAAATTGGAATGGCCTAGATTTTGTATAATGCTGGTAAGGTGGCCTAAATATTTTGTACTTTTAGTGAGTACACGAACGGAAAGACAGGCTAACAAACCATCTTGAATACATTGCCTATAGCTGGAGAGTGCAGTGCAATACATCCTTAATACTTACCGTTAAAATTGGAATGGCCTAGATTTTGTATAATGCTGGTAAGGTGGCCTAAATATTTTGTACTTTTAGTGAGTACACGAACGGAAAGACAGGCTAACAAACCATCCTGAATAACTTGACTATAGCTGGAGAGTGCAGTGCAACTAATCCTTAATAGTTACCGTTAAAATTGGAATGGCCTATAATTTGAACGCTGGTAAGGTGGCCTAAATATTTTGTACTTTTAGTGAGTACACGAA